CCCTCCCTGCAGCATGAGAGCAAGCACACGCGCACAATGCAGGTAGAAAACAACGGCGATGTCAGATCCACGGCGTTTGCCACAAGCTGTGCATTGGCTACAGCGAGCCGGTGACAAAGCAAAGGCAGCTGCGTCTTGCCTCAAGGGCGTGGCAAGCTGCATTTGTGGGGACGTCAAACAGACAAGCAAACACGCACTGTGCGTGTATGTGTGTATGTGTGTGTGTTTGTGTGTACACACTTGAGGGCAGCCAGTTCGCGCTCCAAGGATTCGACGCGCGTGACGAGCACGACGTTCTCGCGGTGAGCGCGGTCATACTTGCGGTACAGCTGACAAACGTGGACGAAACGGCGGCAAAGTCAAAGAGTGAAGCAAGAAACATGGTGTGAGTGCATGCTGCTGTGCGTGTGCGAGTGTGTGTGTGTGTGCGTGCGTGTGCGGGCGTGGGTGTGTGTGCGTGTGTGTGTGTGTGCGTGTGTGTGTGTGTGTGCGTGCGTGTGTGCGTGCGTGTGGGTGTGTGTGTGCGTGTGTGCGTGCGTGTGGGTGTGCGGGCGTGGGTGTGTGTGGGGGGGGGGGAATCAGAAGAGCGCAACACGAGCTGGCCGTGGGCACCTTTGAGAATCGCCATTCGAGCGACAGCTTCTCCGCTACGAGCGCCTCGTGCGAACGCCGCAATTCCTGCAATCGGTGATAGTGACACGTGTACAAAAGGGAAGAAGAGGAGAGTCAGCTGGGTATCAATGGTTGGTTTGCGTGTACCACAGGCTGAGTCACATAGTTGTGGCGTCGAATGCAATAAAGTGTTGACTGCATAGACTGCTCACATGTGCGCCGCTTCCGTCCTCCTCAATCACAATCGAGTGGCCTGTTCCTCGCTGTGTGTGTGTGTGTGTGTGTGTGTGTGTGTATGCGTGCGTGCGTGCGTGTGTGTCATGAAACATGGGATGTGAGTGTGCTACAAGACTGATGAAATGTGTTTGCAAAGCAGATTAAACGCCAGGGATGAGTGTGGGCACATCATAGGTTGGCATGGTCGAGGTTCGGGAGCTACTGAACGACGTACAAGGTGCTGCACTTCAGCTTTGAGCCGAGCAATTTCGTGTTCCTGCTGCTGCACGGTGTGCTTGAGATCAGCCTTTGCCGGGCTGGTGCCATCTGCAAATGTCACTGAGCGCTTGAGGGTGTGGGTCGGCGTGGATGTTGGCGTCTGGCGTGGAGAACTGAGGTGCCTATCGCCACAAACCACAGACATGCGCCGTGAGGAAGTGGCGTGTATGGGTCAGGGCGTGCATCAACGTGGAGGCGAACGGACACAGATTGGTGGAGCACGCTGGGTAGAGGAATGTCAGTCAGTGTGTTGAAGGGGGTGTGCGGACTCACGATGATGCTTCGCCATATTTGAGTTCAAACTGCTTGCGTTGACGGTCCAAGTCGAGGCGATGCTTGCGCTTGAGCTGCCACAGCAACATAAACACGAGCACATTGTGGTATGTTGTGATGGGTGTGATGTCGTTCACTGAGTCACATCAGACCAAGAAGAGCCAAGGAGGACGCAGCCTCTCTCCTACCAACAAACACCACACACACACACACACACACATCACACATACGCAAGTTGGTGGCACCTCCTCGATTTCGCCTTTGCGCTGCTCGAGGGCTTCCTTGGCTTGCTTCAGCTCTCGCCGAAGACTCGACACCGTCGCAGACATGACGCTGCCGTGCGTGCGGTTGTGATAGCGGTGACGATGCTCTCCTCTCTGCGGCGCTGCTCTGCTCCGTGTTGGTGCACACCCTCTCCTCAACCACACACAAAACAATGAACCGCCAAAGTGTGAAGGAAGAAAGTTTTCTTTTTTCTCTGTGGCGGTTTGCGCCGCCAAATTCAAACAGCCGCAGGTCAAGACGAGGCGCGGCATTGCACCACAAACCCGCAATCATCAACAAACAAAGTGTGTGTGTGTGTGTGTGTGTGTGTGTGTGTGTGTGTGTGTGTGTGTGAAGTGAAGTGTGTCTGAAGTGCTGCGACAAGCTCGCTCACTCGGATTACTTCCTCCTGCATCGTCCCTTCCCCAAGCCTCGCGGAGCGACACAACCACCCGACCACCACCAACAACAAACAGCAACAATGTCAGGCGGTGCAGTAAGCATTCACTGGTTTCGAAAGGGCCTTCGGCTTCATGACAATGCTGCACTTCTCGCAGCATTGAAGGGCGCCAAGCAGGTGCGTGTGCGTGCGTGTGCGTGTTTGCGTGTGTGCGCCTGTGCGTGTGTGTGCGTGCGTGTGTGTGTGTGTGTGCATGTGTGTGCGTGTGTGTGTGTGTGTGTGTGTGTGTGTGTGTGTGTGTGTGTGTGCAAACAAGCAAACAGGTGCATCAGGCTTCTTCTTGCTTTTGAGTGGCCGGCACAAACAACGTGTTGCTCAGCCTCGCATCCACCTCTCCACAGGTGTATCCAGTGTTTGTGCTGGATCCACACTTTGCCAAGCCCGAGTTTGTGGGCGTGGTCCGCTACAACTTCCTGCTTGAATCGCTGCGCGACCTCGACAAGTCCCTGCGTACGCTCGGATCGCGGCTCTACGTGCTCAAGGGCAAACCCCTCCAGGCCCTCGAGGAGAAGTTCAAGGTATGATGATCCTTTGTGGTCGGCACCGCTATCCCACCAGCATGAGCATCAACAACAACAACAACAACAACAACAACAACAACAACAACAACAACAACAACAACAACAACAACAACAACAACAATCGCCTCGTCTCATGACATTGACATTTGTTTGCATAGGAGTGGGAGGTGACCAGACTGACGTTTGAACGCGACACCGAACCGTACGCCAAGCTTCGCGATACACAGGCCCGTGAGCTCGCAGAGAAGGTGCGCGGAATTGTGTGTGCATGTGTGCATGTGTGTGTGTGTGTGTGCGTGCGTGCGTGCGTGTGTGTGTGTGCGTGCGTGCGTGTGTGTGTGTGTGTGTGTGTGTGCGTGTGTGCGTGTGTGTGCGTGTGTGCGTGTGTGTGTGTGTGTGTGTGTGTGTGTGTGTGTGTGTGCGTGCGTGCGTGCGTGTGTGCGTGTGTGCGTGTGTGTGCGTGTGTGCGTGTGTGTGCGTACGTGCGTGTGTGTGCGTACGTGTATCAGAGTGCGCATGTGTAGGGTCTTGTGTGTGGACAGCTCACGCCCCTCATATAGCACAGGCAGCTGAGAGAACAAGCAGCCTTCTTACAGCATTCTCACTTTGCCACGCACCACGGCCTTCGTGTTGATGATATGTCTATGTGTGACTGTTAGCATGGAATTGAGGTGATTACAACAGTTGGACACACACTTCATGACCCGGAGCAATACATTGCGAAAGCGGGCGGTGCAGACAAGGTAGGATAGAAATGCAACCTTGCAACGACAGCATCACCCACACCACACATAGACAGCACACGCAGCACACATTCTCCAATGTCTTCTTGCTCAAACACACACGCACACACACACGCACACACACGCGCGCAAACATCCACAACCTCGCACCGCATGCATATGGGCAACAGATTCCGCTGACATACTCGTCATTTGGAACGCTGTTTCGACGGCTTGGCAAAGTGCCAGCCGCGCTGTCTGCCCCAACAAAAGAGGACTTCCCACAGTCATCCACGCTGGTACGCACAGACGCTGTACACTCACTTACGTGTGACTATGTGCATGAATATGTTTGTGGTGTTGTGCCTTGTGTATGTATGTATGTATGTATGTATGTATGTACGTATGTATGTTTGTATGTATGTATGTTTGTATGTATGTGTGTATGTATGTTTGGTTGTCTGTCTGTCTTTCTGTCTGCCTGCCTGCCTGTCTGTCTGTCTGTCTGTATGCATGCATATGATTGCGTGACTGTAGCTCACGCCAAGGATTCACAACATGCCGCATGACACAACCGTGAACACAACACACACGCGCATACACATACACGTGCCAAATACACGTGCCCCTCCTTCACCCTCTCTCCCTTCCATCTCTTTCCTCCTGTTCCCTCTGGAATAGCTGGATGACCACCGCTTTGACGTACCCTCGCTCAAGGACATGGGTTACGAGTGGAATGACGATGAACACGAGGTGCCGTGCACACCGCTGCGGCGTCTTCGCTCGTGTGCTGCTGTTGTCTCTAACCACATCGCTCGCGCGTCCACGCACTCACACGCACGCACTTGCACACCTTGCTCAGGTGCGTTTTCCTGGCGGGGAGACAGAGGCGCTGGAGCGAATGCGCCGCCACCTGCAGCGAAAGGCGTGGATTGCGCACTTTGAAAAGCCAAAGACAAGCCCAAACACGCTCGAACCGTCAACAACAGGGCTCTCTCCGTACCTCAAGTTTGGCTGCCTGTCACCACGCCTCTTCTACCACGAGCTTGCACGCGTGTACGCGGAGTACCGGGACCACGCCAAGCCGCCCGTCTCCCTGCACGGCCAGCTGCTGTGGCGCGAATTCTTCCACATGTGCGGATATGCCGTGAAGAACTTTGATCGCATGGAGGGCAACCGAATTTGCCGCCAAATCGACTGGGACACCAACGACGCCCTGCTCGCTGCCTGGGAGAATGCACGCACGGGGTATCCGTGGATTGACGCGTGCATGACGCAATTGCGGCGGGAGGGCTGGTTGCACCACCTTGCGCGCCACGCCGTCGCTTGCTTCCTCACCCGCGGTGACCTGTACCAGTCTTGGGAGAAGGGCGCGGTGAGTCGCGCGCGTACGTGTGTGTCTGGGGGGGTTGAGAGTATTCAGGGATAAGATAGTGGGAATGACACGCCATCACACACACACACACCTGCTGCCCACTGTGCTTACGCTTTCCCCTCCCCATCATCGCCTGGACTGTAACTTTGACAGCAAGTGTTTGATCGCTTGCTCGTCGACGCCGACTGGCATCTCAACAGCGCCAATTGGTTAGTTGCAGCTGTGGCCATGTGCGCGTGCGTTCTGTGCATGTGTGTTGTGTGTATTGTGTGTTCTGT